AAGGATTACCTGGGGAGATTTTGAATAGGTTAATTTTCTTTCTTTTTTCTTTTTCTTTTTTTTTTTTTTTTTTTGAGACAGAGTTTCACTCTTGTTACCCAGGCTGGAGTGCAATGGCGCGATCTCGGCTCACCACAACCTCCGCCTCCTGGGTTCAGGCAATTCTCCTGCCTCAGCCTCCTGAGTAGCTGGGATTACAGGCACGCGCCACCATGCCCAGCTAATTTTTTGTAGTTTTAGTAGAGACGGGGTTTCACCATGTTGACCAGGATGGTCTCGATCTCTTGACCTCGTGATCCACCTGCCTCGGCCTCCCGAAGTGCTGGGATTACAGGCGTGAGCCACCGCGCCCGGCTCTTTTCTTTCTTTTCTTTCTTTCTTCTTGTTTCTTTTTCTTTCTCTCTTTCTCTCCTCTTTCATTTTGCTCTTGTTGCCCAGGTTGGAGTGCAATGGCACGATCTCAGCTCACTGCAATCTCCGCCTCCTAAGTTCAAGTTATTCTTCTGCTTTAGCCTCCCAAATAGCTGGGATTACAGGTGTTCACCAACATGCCCAGCTAATTTTTTTTGTATTTTTAGTAGAGATGGGGTTTCATCATGTTGGCCAGGCTGGTCTCGGACTCCTAACCTCAGGTAATATACCCGCCTCAGCCTCCCAAAGTGCTAGGATTACAGGCATGAGCCACTGCACCTGGCCTGTTTCTAGGCCTCATTGTAGACCCTAACAAGAAGCAAAAGAGAAACTGTTAACTACTTTGCCAAGACCTAGGTGTGTACATCTGAGCTGTGTGACAGAGCACTGGCTATATACAGCAGTATCCTGTTCTGTCTCCTCTCAGGACTTGGGTCAGTGACCTTCTGCTGGGGCCCAGGGTCCTTCCTGTTAGTGCTTGCAAAGCTGTTAAGTAACCATCCCTGTCTGCCATGTTCCACACTTTGCCCTGGAGTGGGCATGAGGCTGTCTGGGCTTGAGTTTAGGGCATGGATGTTTTCCTTTTACAAGAGCTGGGTGGCACCCCTGGGCTCTTTCAGTTTCCTTCTATACATTGAAATCTACTTCTGGGCTCAGAAGTGGACCTCATTCTGAGAAGCATTGCTGTCTCTCCGGCACCACCTGTCCTGGTTGGGAAGACTTCTGTCTTCATCAGGAGAAGGAATGTGCGAGCTGCCTGGTTCTGCTTTCCCTTGAACTCTTCTCTATGTTTGTCAGCATTGCACCATCAGCCTTGAGCAGCTGACTTGGGCTGCTTCTTGCTCTGAGCAGAACTGAAACCTTTGTGGGAGTGTTATTTGTAAGCGTCTGTCATTCTTAGCTTTGGTCTTTCTAACTGTTCTAGAGCTGGGCTGCTCTTGCGGTTTTTATCAGGTCCTTTCTTCTGTCATTTGTAACATCCTTTTGAATTCCACTTCTTGGAATTTACATTGGTGTCCTTCAATTCCTTCCCTAATTTTTCACTATCAGGACCATTCTCAGTTACTGGGACACAGTTTTGCTTGAGGGTTTACAACCATCTTGAGGGTTTGAGTCATCTGGCCTTTTGAATCTGATATTCAGATGGAACTGATCTCTTGAATTTTTTTCTTCTTCTTTTTTTTTTTTGAGACAGGGTCTCACTCCAGTGCCCTGGCTGGAGTGCTGTAGTTGCAATCTTGGCTCACTGCAGCCTTGACTGCCAGGGCTCAGTTGATTCTTACCTCTCAGCCTCCCGAGTAGCTGAGACCATAGGCACACACCATACCTGGCTAATTTTTTGTATTTTTTTTTTTTTTTTTTAAGTGGAGACAGGGTTTTGCCATTTTGGCCAGGCTGGTCTCGAATTCCTGGGCTCAAGCAATCCACCCACCTTGGCCTCCCAAAATGCCGGGATTACAGGTGTGAACCACCATCACTGGCCTGAATTTATCTTCTTTAAGTTGTTTTCCTCAGTGGATGCATAATTAACATTTTGGGCTAAATAGTTTCTGTCCACAGCGCCATCTGTCCACAGTACCTGCAATGCAGGTCTTTTAGCATCCTGGCCACTCATAGTGCCTGTGGTTCTCAATGGGGGCTCTAGAGGACGTTGGGAAATTGGGGTGGGTTGGTCACAATGCCTGGCATCTGTCTCAGGGTAAGGGCTTGGGAGGCTCAAGTGCAGAGTCATGTCTGAATGCTGGCAACACCCTGTTGGAAACTTTTCTACTACAGGATGCTCATCATTCTTTGAAGATGACAGGGCCTGTTCGTTTGTTTGTCTCAGTTTCTATCGCTTCTGCATTATAATCAGTTCTTCCTTGTTGGTTAGAGTTATGCAAAGGAGGTTGCCCCTTTTGTCTTTGGAGAGCTTAACTTGACGGCAAGGTAAGTTGGGAGTTTATCTGACAACCCTGCTTTGGATTCTCTGTGCTTCCCAACCCTGCTGTCATTAGCATCCTCAGGGTTGCCCATTCTTCTCTCTGGCCAGGTGTGTGGCTCACTTCCATGGCAGTATTCTTTTATCTTTGTCTGTGGATCCCCTGGATCTCCTTGATACGAAAGCACCAGTAAGTGTTCTTTCTGCACCCCTGCCCGTAGTGCTTCTCACTGCTTCCTCTCCTTTTTCTTGAGCAAGATACTGTTTTTCACTCTCATGTTACAGTTGAGTTTTGTCTTGCCATATTTTTGTAATTCCTGTGAGATTTACCTGGTGTTTATCACCCATACTTTATACTGTTGGCATGTGGATTTCTGAAACCATAAAATATATTTACAGATAATTTTAAAATGTGTTTTCTCCCGTAAATGTTAGATATTGTCACTGTTGTTTCTTCTTTTTTTAGTTGTGTAGTTTCAGAGTTCTATCTGGCATATTTTTTTTCTATTTGTATTTGGTTTAAAACATTTTGTTTGCTAGGACTCTAGTCTTAGGGAAATGTATGCTATATTCTGTACTTAGCCAGGAATTCTAGTATCTTGAGCCAAGGTCAAAAAAGCCAAACACAGCATTGGAACTGTATTTATGGAGAATCCTTCCCACCCTAGGTTCTTTTTTCCTCCCTAAGTCCCAGCTTCCTATCCAACCACCAACCTGGTCATTAGGCACATGTTTGAACACCACTGTGAGCTAGGCCCTGGCAGGACCAGGGCTTCCTAATCTCTGCCCTCGTTGAGCTTACATTCTAGTTGAAGAGTGGAAGGAGGTGGCAGTGTGGGTGTGAGACTTATTCCCCTTCCTGAGTCTGTCCAGGCTTCATAATCCGCAGGGGGATATTTCTGTTGAGTCCTGTGAGCAGGAGGACCAGGTGACAGTTGGCAGGTTGGAGCGGTCCCTCAGGTTCCATACCTCCTCATGCAGGCAGAGGGGCCTCATGCAGGCGAAGACGGGCCAGGCTACCCCATTCCTCACTGCAGGAGGTCACAGCCCATGCTGCCAGTGCCTCCTCAGGGAGAAATGGATTCGTCATTGCTCCCAGCAGCGCTTCTTCCCTCACTTCAGGCACAGCCTCGAGAAATCCATGTTCAGGCTCCACCCACACTTGCTGGACCAGAATTTCTGGGGCTGGGCCCAAGTCCGGGTGATTGTGGTGGGCAGATGAGGGTGACAAGCAGGAGCACCCTGTGGGGAGAAACTCTTGCCTGTTGCCTGCTATGAAGCACCAGTGTGTTCTGCCTCTTTTGTGTGTTCATTCAATGCACTCTCCCTCTCGGCTGCTCTGGGCTGTGCGTCCAGCACATCCTCCTACTCAGAACCGGTAACTGGGCTCCTGTTCCCCCTTCCTTGGAAATTGTTTCCTTCCCTGCCTGTGTAGCCTCGAGGTGCCTTTTAAATTACCACTATGTGTTGGAAGTATGAGGTGCAGAGGAGCTTTTGGGCTCGATGTTGGGGCTGATAAGGAGCCCCCATACTGCTCTGAGCTGCAGCACCATATAAGGAGGTTCTGGAGGGTGCTGGAGCTGGGCCAGAGGAAGCAGCCTGGCAAAGGAGGCAGGGCTTAGCTGGGTGGTGCTAGGGCTGCCGAAGAGAAGGTGCCTGAGAGGAGTGGAGGTGGCTGTTGTGCCACCGGATGGGAGGCCGGGCTGAGGCGTGTGGAGCAGCACTCTGTGTCAGAGTGGAGGAATGTTGGTGAGGCTGGTGTGCTGGTGGGAGGGCATGCCAAGTGGCTTGGCTTATTGTGCCTGCCAGGTGTTCACGGAGGTGTCGGAGGCAATGGCAAAGGTCAGGTTGGTGCACAGTTGAAAAACAGGTGACAGACAGTTCTGAAGACATCTCAGGCCGGATCCTGAAGTCATAAAGTTGTGCTTTCTGGGTGAAATGGCACTTGTTGAATTGACTGTTTATACAATAATCCCATATATTTAAAAGGAGTCCTGTTGCCCGCAACATGGCCTCCCCTTCATTTTCTGTACTCTGGGTCTGTTTTGCAGTTGAGGAAACTGAGGCTCAGTGAAGGTTTCCCATCCCCGCTCCCCTACTCCCACCCCAGTCCCAGACTGGATGGTTCTCTTTGCTGTGTGCCCATGGAGTCCTTCTGAAATCTACAGCATTGGGTAGAAAACTGGATATGCATTTGTGTCTGATTTGTTCCCAGTCCCTAGTTTTATTCATCTTTAGGTTCTTAGCATCTGATGCATAATCAGTGCTTAATGAATTTTGATTGGAAGGCAACAGGTGTACGGTACCTCAGTATAGTTTCTGTCATGTATGAGATCTCACACTGAGGGATTTAAATAGGCATGGTAACCAACTCAAAGAGAAGGTGGTATGACCGTAGAAGCACAGTTCCCCCCGTCATGTTTGGGGGGTTCACTGAGGTGGGGGCTTGTGTTGGTCTGGGACATGGGTAGAAGCAATGACCTTGCAGTGGGGACTGCCATGGCAAACTCTATGCCTCCTTAACCACTCCAAGCACGGTTTAGTCCTCACTCTCCAATTTTGTCATTGGCATTTTTGGCATTTGGTTTAATTTGAGGGCATCAGGAGGGATCTTAATATGTGGTGCTTTCCCCTATTTGACACCCCTTTATGCTTTGTCAATCAACAGGAGCTTGAAGAAATCCGCAAATGTGGAATGAAAAACTTCCGTAACATCCAGGTTGATGAAGCTAATTTATTGACTTGGCAAGGGCTTATTGTTCCTGTGAGTATTGAACACTTCCACTTCCTACCAGATTTAAGGTGATGTGTGTGCTGTTGGGCTTGTTTTTCTGCTCCTTAGTAGGCTCTTAGTCTAGGCAGCCAGCAGATGCACAGAAGTGACTGTCACTCTAGGGTAATAAGGCAGGGAGTGTAGCCTTGGGTCCTGAGTAGAGTCACATCTTGGCACTGGTTTTGTAAAACTCAGGGGGTCCTAAGCTTTGTAGATCTGTGGACACAGAGAAAAGGAGTGTGTCTGTGCTCCTGCTCTTTCCTGGCTTCCCTGGCTTCTGTGCGCTTGGCCTCATTGATCAGCGGGACCTTCTTCTCTGAGCTCCCTTGGGAGGGGGACAAGCATTCTCCTCTAGTTGTTTTGCTTTCTCTCTTGGTTTTGCATTCATGTCTGTAACTCTTCGGATATTTGTATTTTGGACTTTATTCCTGGTCCCCTCCAACCTGTGTCTTCTGTTTGTCTCAAGTTCCTTTTTCTAATTGCCCACATGTTCCCCTCACCCCATGTCTTTTCTGGGGCTCACGCCTCCAGTGTCTGCCCCCACAGCCCAGCTGCCCCATCTCTCAGAGTTTTGCCTTCTAATGGACTGAAGCCCCTCCTAACAGTGGCTTTCTCTGGACCCTAGCATCCTCTTAGTGTCTACTCTTTTCTGCATTTTTTGATCCCTTCATCCTTCAAGAGTCTTGTCTTATAATTAACTCCAGTTTGCAATCCCCCTTCCTCTTACTTTCCTGAAACCACATCACACCCAGCCCACAGGCTGTCCCGACTGTTGTCATGCCTCTGGCTTGGCTGCCCTGACATCATGGCCCTTGCTTGCCTCCTGAGCTTTGGGAGGACGGGCAGCTTCTCAGCCTCCAGTCCTGTGACCAGCCTGCCATTCACCCCTGTCCTGCCACTCTTTTCTCCTCCCTCTTAAACATGGCTCTTTTTGGTCTCCTACTGTTTCCAGTTCTGTTTTGTCTCTGGGGACCCTACTTCTTTCAGGATCATAGATTATGCAGGACGTGAAGGATTCCCACACCCATCTCCATTCCTGCCTTCTCCTTGGAACCTCCACCATCTGTCCACCAGGCGGCCTCACTTGGTCGTTATGTAGCCTTCCAGCTACCCCAGGTCACAGCCTTGCCCTGCGTGAGTGCCCTCCTTTCCTGTTCTTCTTCATCCAGTCACCTTCTCTCTTCCTTTTCATTTCCACTTTGCACATCTGAGCCTCAGGCCCTTTCCCTGTACCTGACCCAGTCCTGTATATATTTTTTTCTCATGGATGGATTGTTACTTTGCCAAAGCAGAACATAGAATGTGCTTCCTTCCTATAGATGTTTTCTTGATGTTGGTTGTAAGGTCATGCCTTTTTTTTTTAAATAAGTCCCTGAATTTGATCAGCAGTCATTGGATTTGTAGTTTATTTCCATAATCGTTTGGGTAACTAAGGAAAGATATACTTTGTAATGATTTAGTATATGTTCACAATGTTTAAATCTGGGAGCTGCCAGTCTGATTTGAGGATGTGTCCTTTAGATTTCTTTTTTTTCTCTTTTTTTTGACAGTCTCGCTCTGTCGCCCAGGCTGGAGTTATAGTGGCGCAATCTCGGCTCACTGCAACCTCTGCCTCCCAGGTTCAAACGATTCTCCTGACTCAGCCTCCTGGGTAGCTGGGATTACAGGCATGTGCCACCACGCCTGGCTAATTTTTGTATTTTTAGTAGAGACAGGGTTTCACCATGTTGGCCTGGCTGGTCTCAAACTCTTGACCTTGTGATCCGTCTGCCTCAGCCTCCCAAAGTGCTGGAATTACAGGTGTTGAGCCACCACACCCGGCCTCCTTTAGATTTCTTTAGGCTCGATGGTGTTAGGGCTTAGGGCAAAGGGTGTGGGTGGCAGAGACATCTCTGCGTGGGAGAGGTTTGCCTGTGAGTGCAACATTTGCCTACTCTAGGGATCTGAGAATGGCTAGGACCATCAGACCTTGTCCCTTTTCTAATTGAGATTGTGTATACTACTGATCAAAGAAGTGAACAGTTAATCCGTGGCTCTTTGGAAAATGATAGAAATGAATGGAATGGTTTTAAGTGGTAAGACTTGGGCAGTCTGGCCCTGAGAGTTCAGTGGCCTGAGAGCCTGCCACCCAGCTCCAAGGGTAGATTGCTGCTGGGCATGCTCTGCCACGGCTCATGCAAAGGCCTCCCTCTGGTTTCACGCTGGCAGGGGTGATGGAGCAGTGGGTTAAAGTCTCACTAGGCCAAAGGTGGAGGCTGGCTGGTAGAATCCCTGTGTGCTTGGGGTGAGGCTCTGAGGAGTCTCCAGGCCGAAATTTTGCCTTGGAGACAGTAAGCCACAGCCAGGGCGGCTCTTGTCCCTGTGTATACCACCTTCTTGTCTGTCCTTTCCCTTGCTTCCTTCCAGGGCTCTGGGTTTGTATGAGGAGTGTTTCAACAAAGTCTTTCTTCCTTCTCCAGAAAAGTTAAGGCATTCTTGACATCTGGTATCCCCAGGGTTCACACTTGTACTCCAACTTGGGCCTTACGTCTTCCTACATTGGACAGCTGGGCTAGCATGGGAATGTACTATACAAACTCACCTGAGGTCTGCCCAGTTGGGGTGAAAGCAGAGCCAGGCCATTGAAGGCATGGCAGCGCAGCCCTGGGCCTTTGTGGAGGGTGCTGTCCTTGGGTAGCCACCTAGTGATTGTCCTGGTTGTGTGCACAGAGGAGGGCAGGTGGGAGGGGAGGCTGGGGAGGTGCTTCCTAGAGACTTCATTGTTGCCAATGCAACTCAGGTCTATTCTCTTTAACATTTGTTTTTCTGTAATTTTTTAGATCTAAGATTCTAAGGTAACATCTAAAGAAGAAAGTATTACCCATAATCATATCATCAAGAAATTCGGTTACTTTTTGGGCACTGCCCTTTAGGAACTGGAGGTGTATGGTGGTGAACCTTCTTGAAGCTTCTAACCCAGTGAATGTGTCCACTCTTTTTTTTTTTTTTTTTTTTTGAGATGGAGTTTCACTGTTGTTACCTAGGCTGGAGTGCAATGGCGCGATCTCGGCTTACCACCACCTCCGCCTCCTGGGTTCAGGCAATTCTCCTGCCTCAACCTCCCGAGTAGCTGGGATTACAGGCACGCGCCACCATGCCCAGCTAATGTTTTGTATTTTTAGTAGAGACGGGGTTTCACCACGTTGACCAGGATGGTCTTCATCTCATGACCTCGTGATCCACCCGCCTCGGCCTCCCAAAGTGCTGGGATTACAGGCTTGAGCCACCGCGCCCGGCGAATGTGTCCACTCTTAACTTTCAGCATACTTCCTCTCAGCCATTTTTCATGCAGTTTTTAATAAGCCATTCCATAAATTCATGATATAATGTTTTGTTTTTTGAGGCAGGGTTTTGCTCTATCACCTAGGCTAGAGTGCAGTGGTGTGATCATGACCTGTTGCAGCCTTGAACTTCTGGGCTCAAGTGATCCTCCTGAGTAGCCAGGACTACAGGTGTGTACTACCACACCCAGCTAATTTATTTTTATTTTATTTCATTTTATTTTTGAGACAGTCTTACTCTGTCACCGAGGCTGGAGTTCAGTGGTGTGATTTCGGGTCACTGCGACCTCAACCTCCAGGATTCAAGTGATTCTTACACCTCAGCCTCCTTAGTAGCTGGGATTGCACGTGTGCACCACCATGCCCAGCTAATTCTTATTTTTGTTTTTGAGACAGAGTCTTGCTCTGTTGCCCAGGCTGGAATGCAGTGGTGCGATCTTGGCTCTCAGCAACCTCCATCTACTGGGTTCAAGCGATTTTCGCTAATTTTTGTACTTTTAGTAGAGATCGGGTTTCACTATGCAGCCAGGCTGTTGTTGATCAAACTCCTGACCTCAGAAGATCTGCCCGCTTTGGCCTCCCAAAGTGCTGCGATTACAGGCATAAGCCACTGCCTCCAGCCTTTTTTTTTTTTTTTTTTTTTTTTTAAATAGTAGAGACAGGGCCGAGCAGTGGCTCACACCTGTAATCCCAGCACTTTGGGAGGCCAAGGCAGGCAGATCACTTAAGGTCAGGAGTTCGAGACTAGCCTGGCCAACATGGTAAAACCCCATATCCACTAAAAGTACAAAAATTAGCCGGGTGTGGTGGCAGGCAGCTGTAATCTCAGCTACTTGGGAGGCCGAGACAGGAGAATTGCTTGAACTCGGGAGGCAGAGGTTGTAGTGAGCCGAGATCATGCTATTGCACTCCAGTCTGGGCAACAGAGCAAGACTCTGTCTCGGGGAAAAAAAAAAAAAAAAATAGAGATGGGGTCTCCCCGTGTTGCCCAGGCTGGTCTCAGACTCATGGGCTGAAGTGATCCTCCTGCCTCGGTCTCCCAGAGTGCTAGGATTATAGACGTGAGCTGCTGCACCCAGTAATTGTTTTATCTTTTTATAATTATTTAGTCTCTGCCTGAAAACTTTGTGAACATGATATTTGATAACTATACTATATCCCATAATATTTGTATGTTTATATATCTAATCATTTATTTTAATCTTTGTTCTATATTTTAGATTCTGATTTTAAAACATAGTATTCTGTTAGGATCAGAGCTATATTTTATATGTGTATATATGGAACAGACCATCTGTAGGGCCATAGGTATATATTATTTTCCAGAAAAGTTGTGCCAGTTTGTACTTCTATAGACTGTCTGCACAAGTGCCCATACGTGTCCTTGGCTGTCATGGAGGTTGCTCTGGATTTTAATTTTTATTATTTATTTATTTTTGAGATGGAGTTTCACTCTTTCTGCCCAGGCTGGAGTGCAATAGTGTGATCTCGGCTCACTGCAACCTCCGCTTCCCAGGTTCAAGCTAGTCTCCTACCTCAGCCTCCTGAGTAGCTGGGATTACAGGTGCCTGCCACCACACCCAGCTAATTTTTTTTGTATTTTTAGTAGAGACGGGTTTTCACCATGTTGACCAAGTTACCTCAGGTAGTCCACCCACTTTGGCCTCCCAA